ATGAAAAATATATTACACAATGTGCTCATAAGGAAATTTACGTACTTATCACTTCAAGACGAGCGCTGGCTTCGATGCGGCCGTAATCATTTTCCACGATTACTCTGTACAGACCCGCATCTTCCAGAGTGACTTCAACGATCTCCAGTATCTTCACGTCGTCCCTTTCCTTTACGGAGATCCTGGCTGTAGGCGTGACAACCGTGCCATTTTTATCCCATTTCACCCAAGGCGTCGGGTGGCCAGCTACGGCGCACTGAAATCGTACAGTTTCACCTTCTTCGGCCACCCGGTTATGCGGAACCGCGTAAAACTTTGGTGGACTGATCTTCGCTCTCCTCGACGTCGACCTACTTCGCGGAAGAAGCTGAGGAGACCTCAATTCCCGTCCATCTGCGCAAACATAAATTTCCTTGGTTCAAATTTTCAATATGCTCATTTTTATAAAAATTGTGGTGAAATATAGTCAGTGAATTTGTGTGCAAACATTCCTGATGTCAATTGGAAACAATGATATTTAAATTGATGTTTCCTTTACTCCTCAAAAATAATTTGTATCATACAACAGATTTGCGTATCAGATGTCTTATAAAATTTAAAATAAAGAGTTAAATTTTATTTATTTTTTTTATTTACGTGGAACTGTTGGAGACAAGCTTCTAATAGGCGTCGAACGCGGCGTCGATCTCGGCGTCGATCCACCCGACAGAAGTCCTGGAGGTCTTGTCAATCGTTGACTCAAAACGTTTTCCTTTCCCTCGGGCACTAAAACGATTTTAATTAAAATACCGCTTCACATTTTCTATTAGAAAATAATTCATTATCGCGTATCAATCCTTCAATCCAATTGCGCTGGAAATATACGGGTCAGAACGAATAGCATTCGAAGGTTTCTGGTAAGTTATCGATGTTTACACGTTGCTCTGTTATGCGGTCATAATTTATATGGGATAATTACCATCTACTATTAGACACGCCGACGTGAATGCTTTGCCGAGGTCGTTGTAAGCGACGCAGGTATATTCGCCCTCGTCCTCCGGGTAGACGTGCTGGATTATTAAACGCGCGGTCTCTTCATCGAACTCCGAGGAGAAATCGCCACCCATTTGCAGAATCTGCGAACATGATAAAATAGTGATAATACACACTACTCTAAAAAATTATGGAATCACGACATTTGCATTGAAAATTGCCTAAGTTCGGAAAGTCATAACTGAGCGACAAATTACTGTAGGACGATGAAATGTCCAGTGATTCTGATCTGGCCGATTTTCTACTCTGTACAAAAAAAAGAATTCGTCGATTTATAAGAAGACTGACAGAAAACAGGGATGGCTCCAGAAAAGAATTTTACAATAAAATGAAAATAATAATGTGAATGAAATAATATCTTATTTCAAATATCAAGAGCAAGAACTTTCAATGACTCAATAAAAGTAATAATATGAAATTGTGTCTACCTTCCCTCCACGTTCCCAGCGCACCAAAGGCGGCTCCGGCGTGGCGTGTACTTGACACTCAAGGGTAACGGCATCGCCATCGCAACATCTGAGGTCCCGTAGGTCTCTCGTAATCACCGGCAAAGTTAGCACGTTCCTATCAATCAAAATATCATTTAGATGTGTCGATCAAAAACAAATCGATCGCTGTTTCGCAAAACGCTCGCTCATTACGCGTCGCGTCAGCGAAACTTATCTTAGTTGGAATCTTGAGGCCACTTACCCGTGCGTGACCCCCGATTTCTTCATCTTCTCCTCTTTGCCTTGACCTGAAAGTGTAGCAGTTTTAGACAAATTGTCAACCGTACTTTTATTTTATGTTGCATTATACATTTACAAGTAATGGAAATTCAAAGATATTGAGGATTTTATAAATATA